CGGGGAGAAGGCGGCGGTGCCGGGCGCGGGGATGGGGTCCTTCCCCCCCTCACCCACAAGTAGAGCCCGGGGCCCCCCAGAATTTTGCACCCGCCGCCTCCCACTCCGGTTAGCCAGAGATCTAACTTATCCGGGGATAAGTTAGTTGTCTTGGGCAGTTGCTTGCGATTTCACCTTAAAGATAAATAAATAAGACCATGTGATGCGTAACTCTTGTTAGCGGGTTTCTGTGCCTGTCAAAATCCGTGTTTTCCTCCGTGTGTAGAGGTGACCTACTTTGTAAACCAGGAGTGTGTGCAGCGGCTACGCTGTGATGCATGCCGTGTGCTGAACGGTGCCAAACTAACAGCACCAGGTGCTGCTGTGTGAATATGGCATCATGGGCCTGTACTTTCACATACTGCCTTATTCTAAGGGACGATACGGTTTATGCCATAGTCATTTTAACTGACTTTTGGTGGAAACTGAAACTGTACTGAGCTTACCTGTTCTCTAGCCATGAATTGCAAAATGTAAAATTTACTGGAAATGCCAAATCATTACAGCTTTGACAGTAACACTTAGTGCACATAGAAAACTTTGTATGACATAATATTCTCCATTACAACCATCTTGACAGTGAGCAAACAGGCTGGTCTTCTGTTGAGAACAGTGTGCAACTTTTAAAGGCAGAGCCAAAGAATATCCAGCAACGGCGACCTGTGTCGTTAGCAATCATGCTCTAAATTGGGAAAGAAGGTACAAGGCAAATCCAGTTAGTTGGATTCCTGCCCTTGATATATGTGGGCATAACATTAGGGAATCTTGCTGTGACAGTACATTCACTGAATATTGCATTCCTGATTTTATAAAATAAGATGAAATTGGGAAATCTCCATAATTGGTACCTTGTGTCGTTCAAATTGCGATGCTTCTTGTCACTTGGGAAGGAACTAAATGAAACTTATTGCAAATACATCATGTTGTGTGAAGAAGGACTTGTCTTTGGAAGGAAAAGGAAACACCTGCATTCTGTGTTTCCTTTCTCCATATGATCTAGTTCAGTTAGGAGAAGATTTTCTGCGTGTCTGTGAATAGTTGCTCTACCTCCCAGTCGTGCTATATAAGTTCAACTCAGCCTACGTCTGGGTGGCCAGCAGCTTTCATACCCTTGTCTCTCTGTGAGAAATTATTCACACGGGTTTCTTATTTTGTATGATCAGTTGGAGGTGGTAGGCCAAGGGCTACGAGCTCTTGCTCGTTTGGTGATGGCAGTTGTGCTGAGTAATAGCACTGCTCTTCACATCCGTCGCTTGGCTGCAGGGAAGGGTGGCAGGACTTTCAGTGAGGGTGACAGAGCACTGGAACAGGCTGCCCAGAGAGGTTGTGGAGTCTCCTTCTCTGGAGATCTTCAAAACCCGCTTGGACGCAGTCCTGTGCCACGTGCTCTAGGTGACCCTGCGTATGCAGGAGGGTTGGACTAGATGATCTCTAGAGGTCCCTTCCAACCCTAAGCATTCTATGATTCTGTGACTTGGGTGTCTTGCAGAGCAGCTCTACAGCTTGGCTTGAGAGATGCCACTTGCTTAGGTGGTTGTCAGTTTGGACAGGAGTGCCCAATTCCTCCCCTTCCAGGGTCCAGTAACTTTCCTGATCCTCTTATAAAGCCCCGATATCCATTTCAATTCCTCTGCTCTTAGCTTGCCATTTTTTGTGTGTGTGAAGGGAGGAGCTGGGCTTGGGGCATACTGCAGCATGCCTCTCTAAGGCTGCATCCTCGACAGAATTGCATTCTCTAAGACTAAAGTACTGAAGCTGACATAATGGGTAGTTAAATTGCACCCTGCAGGGCCCCAAATAGCTTCCATCAGCAGTTTACTAGTTTTCTGTAGCCAGGCTTCCAGAAGATGCTTCGGAATTGCCCTCCGAGGAGTCTGGAAGGCGAGATGAATGGGATGTTATAGACCAACAGGATGCTGTGCCACAAGGACTGCACATCAGTGCTTTTGAGTGCATTTTGCTGATGGAGAGCTTTTTCTTTGCTTGCTTCTTGCTCATAATGAGATGTTTAGTCTCCTCATTTTAGCAATGTGTCTAGGCTGCTGATGCGGGTAGAATCTGATGTTACTGATGCAGAGATTAGGATGGATGGTTTGTTACGATCCGTGTGCCCTTGTGGTTGGCACTCCTGGCTTCAAAGTGGCATTTTGGAGTTCAGGAATGCTTACCCTTCACTGCAGACATTTCTCCTTAATTTCAGCCTTGCTGTACATATTACTTCTCGTATTTCCTACTTAGGTATCCTCATCCTTTCTTCCCATTATAGCTAGGGAAGGGTCCCAGTCAAATATCTTCTCCTCCTCCAAAAAATGTCAGAGGAACAATTGATTCGGCAGCATTCCTCCTCCAGAGAACCTCTAACCATCATTTGACTTACTGGCAACTCAGGTTGTTTTCTTCTGCTTGTTTAACCTTGTGACTTTGTGCTCAGCTGAGTTTTTAAACTTTCCAGAGCAGCCTACTCGGTGAAATGTGAGAAGAGCAATACTGCTACCCGCATTGCAAGAACTCTGCCTGCAGAGTTGACATCCTGTTTAGGCAAACTTTAACTATTCTGCTTACTTACTGCCTTTTTTTTTTTTTTTGAGATAATCAACTGCTGTGTTATGATGGTCCAGTGTCAAGTCATTTCTTTGTGCAGCATCTCGATGTGATAGTTTTGTTAAGATCCCAGTCTGAAGATGCATGCAAGTTAAAAAAAAATAATGATTTCTGTAAACTTACGTGTTTGGTTTTCTTATAAAATAATACTTGAATCCCTTTTAAACTGACATTGTGTTTTATGGTATTTTTTAAATAAATAAGAACTTTATTACACTGATGAAGATGTATAACCAAAATAGTATGAAGGCAGAGTAAGAATTATAATACAGCAAACTACATAGGAAGAGATTAAATATTTTAAAATTAATTTTAGGATATTGCAATTTACTGAGCTTTCTCTGAAATTGTGCAAATGTTATTGATTCTCAGAAATCCACGCTGAAGTGCAGTTGAAGAATTATGGGAAATTTCTTGAGGAGTATACATCTCAGCTGAAGAGAATCGAAGATGCTTTGGATGACTCTGTTGGAGATGTTTGGGACTTCAGTCTTGATCCCATTGCATTAAAGGTCTTCATTATTTAATATACAGTGAAATTGTTGTGTTCCTTATTCCTGCTTTCCTTCAAAACCTGAAAAGTAAAAGCTGTGTGCATTTGTGTTCTGATTTTAGACAGGTTTGAGAAACCTGTCTAAAACAATTTTAATTATCAAATAACTAATATTTGGGTTCTTAGCATCAGAGATGTTTTCATGTTATTCTTTTTTCTTGTCTTCTGGATGACAGTAAAAGTTAAATGAATTTACTATTTCTGATGTCTTTAAAATTTTTCCCTGTGTTTTTTTGGGGGGATTTTTTTTGTTGGTTTCCAAAACAACTCCCTCCTAGTTGTATAACTGCAAAGTGAACCGTATATGTATTTTTAATTATTTGATGTAATGGCCTTGATTTTATTTGTTTATTCATTTTTATAAAAGCAAATTGCACAGTATTATTTGTCCTTCAGAGGTGGTTATTTCCTTGGTCAGAAACTTCCCATCCTCTGTGGAGTACTTTTTGTTTGTTTTGTTTTTCTTCACTTGTAGACATTACTCAAAAGCACTTTTTGCTTTTGTTCCCTTATGGAACTTGTCTATCCAGAAGATAGAGCAGGTCTAAACATTCCTCCAGCTTTTCAACTTATGTGTAGGGCCACTACAGTGCTAGATGTGTTTGAAGTAGTCCGGCTCATGTCTGATTCAAGCACAAAGTTTTAGTACCTACATGCAGACACACACCATACTTCCAATTTCCTGCATTTGGAATTCTGTGATTCTAATTCTTATAAAAAGAATCATTATAACATTCTTACGTTTCCTGAGCTTCTTTCTGCATACTTCATAATGACCATGCTTTTGCTTTACAATTTCTGTAAGTAAATTACCATAAATACTATGTAGTATATCTAGTTATTCCCCTTTCTGCCATCAGTGAAAAGGAAAGTGTTTCCCTGTATATGCAAAAAGTGAAGATTTCTTCTGCCTGTTGTCATTATTGTACAGTTATTGCCCTGTATTACCGACCTCATTTGAGATTAAACTGAAAAAAAATACTCCCCTAGCTGGATAAATGTGTTAATATTTTTTTCAAATAGTTTCTAAATTTTTGTTTGATAATTGTTTTTAAATAATTTTCAGCTTTTGCCATATGAACAGTCATCTTTGTTGGAGCTCATAAAGACAGAAAACAAGGTAGGTGCTTTATGCTTAAATGGAAAAGATGATTGTAGCTAATCTAGCTAAAAGCCCTCTAAACATGAGAAATGTTATGTAAGGTGTTTACTTGCCTTGTCTTGTAATCTATGCTTTTTTTTTCCTTCTTTGAGTCTAGGTTCTGAACAAAGTAATAACTGTTTATGCGGCCCTTTGCTGTGAAATTAAGAAATTGAAGTATGAGGTAAATTCAGCTGTCTTTTATTGCTGTGTGAAAATGTTTGATTTACAAGTGAATCTGTAGATTTGTTCTGTCATGATTGAAAAAAAAATAAGATGCAATGTCTACATTTATGTACCATGTATATATTCTGTTTATTAAAAAATAAATTTCTGCTTTTGTTGTTAGGCAGAAACTAAATTTTATAATGGCCTCTTGTTTTATGGAGAAGGAGGTAAGTAGTTCCCTTTACTGTAAAAGTTTGTAGTTTTATATTATTACTTCAGGTTATATCAAAAGCTATAGTATGTGTAATCCATAATACAGATATATGCTTTCATTATATTTTGGCAGGTAAATGCCAAAGAATGGAAAGGTTACAGAGCTGTATGTTACTGTCTTGTAACTTTTCTAAGACAGCATTAATATTTTATCTTTAAAGCTCCATTATCTACAGTAAGTACTGTTATATTAATAGGAAATTTCATTGCAACCTCATTTACATGAGAAGTAGAAAGCAGGGACTGTTACTTATTTTTCAGACACATAGCCTTTAAGTGAAGATACTGAGAAAATGCGTGAGATATAAAAACAATGCTTCTGAAATTTGTCCTCATTATTTTTGTGAAACATTTTGGCTGATTTTTTTAATGTCATTATAGTTAATGACAGTTATGTAGTCAATATAATAGTATAAAGTACAGAAACCTGTATTTATGGTACTGTAGCAGCTCTTTTTCAAACTGTGGCATTGATCACCTGTGCTTTTGTGTGTAAATACACCATCCTAAAACAACCTATTACTTATTGGAATTAGGTTTTGCATCATTACCTTTATTCATTGCCTTTATTCATTGTCATGTTGCTTACGCATTTCTTGTTTTATGACAAAGTCTTGTGTGCTTGACTCATACAATCATGGCTGATGTTGGTATAATCTTCTGCTCTTAAACTGCAAGTGGTAGTATTCTTACTGCTGTTTAGACTGTGAAAAAAATGACTGTAAGTCAGTCTAGTTGACAAAGCATGAAAACCCTCTGTAGATGAAAACTGCTTTTTTTTGTCATGAAATTAGGCTGGTAATGCCCTTGAAGAATTGGTTTTAAGTGCTTTATTCAATGATATTAGTCTGAGAATAAGCACAGGTCTTAGTCTGGTTGTACTGATGACTTGTTAGGTGGCCTGTCCATAAATTTTTTATTTCTATTTTAGAAATGTGATAGGACTACTCCTTCATAGTAGTCTTGCAAAAGTACTTTGCAAAGCTTTTCAAGAGCCTTAGATGTGACAGAGCTGTTGGGGAATGTGAAATCTTTGAGATCGAGACTGTTTAACATACTTTAAGTACTGTGTAAGATGACTGTTGTGGTTCAGCTAAGAAACCTCTGAAATGAAAGGGATGTGTTGCCAACATGATACAACCTGCTGCCAACAGGGAATCCCTCAGAACTTCTCTGCATCTCTAGCGTGATGAAAGACAGGCTGTTGCAGCAGCAAGACGATAAATTATAGCAGCAGTTTGTTCCTTCTTGGTGTTCAGCAGGGAATAGTTGGGAATGGCAGGAAACAATAGGTCAATCTTCCTTTTTCTTTCTTTTTTTCTTTCTTTTTTTTTTTTCTGCAGATGGGGATGTAGAAGTTATGTTCTCTGATTCTAAATCCTCTGTAACTTCTACAAAGCGTACTTAGTCCAGAACAGCTAGCAAGTTACTGGCTCAATTCGACAGATAAATATTGTGCTGATCTCTGCCTTCTCTATATATGAAAAACATTTTGTCATCTTGTCCTTACAGTGGCTAGGGCTGGCCTAGGAATTTGAAGTCAAGTTAGATTTGTTTTTTTTGGGACATCTGCTAAACTCGATGTGACAGGGAAGGATATAGAATTTAGTCTGTTTTGCTGGAACTTTGTTTTACAGAGTGTGCAGGTTTCTTTAGTGTCTGGCGACTGCTCTAAAGAAACATTTTTCCAAAGCAAATGACCAGAAATGTGAAACTAAATAAAATTGAAGGATTTCCCTCTATGAAATGAAGGATGATGTCTGGAAATAGGAAACTGTTTTTCCCTCATGTGAAGTAATTTCTCATGCACGTAGGTTTGCAATTGTAAGCCATTTTTACACAGAGAGACTCAACGGAAAAATCTTAAGTCCATAGCATTAAACTGTCCTCAAATTAAAAAGACTGTTTTGTGTTTTGTCAATGGTACTAGGATCACTATAGCTGTCCGAACGAATTCTACATGAATGATACAGTTACACTAACAGGATACTAAAGATTACATTACTTCATCATATAGTAATGCTTTGAAGACATGGTGATGAACCAGTACCATGTCACTGGTTAATATAAAGAAAAGGCATATATTTTTTTTGAAGAAATTGCACACTACATGTCTTTTTTTTTCCCTTTTTCCAGTGGTTAGTAACTGCAGCATCTTGTTTCAATAACCGTATCACCAGATCTTATTACAAGATAAATACTAGTGCTTTTACAGACTTGTATTAATAGAAACATTGATATGAATTTATATAAAATAAATGCTTGCCAAGAATTGCATTCCATATTTTTAAAAGTTTTCTTTCCTGTGATAGAGACCTTGTTTCCCTGTTTCGAGGGAAATACTGTGCATTTGTTATATATAGTATAGTTTATATTGAGACAAAAACTTAAAAAATATGTCTGCTTTAAGAAATCAAAACAAAAACTTATAAGACTCCCATCAGAAACGCATTGTCTTTTAAAAATATGCTCCAGTTTTATTAAAAAATAACTCTGAGATCAAGCTTTGTAGTGAAATGAATAGGTTTAACATGGGTTTTTGAAAGTAGTGACAAATCTTTGTCTTTCAAGCCACAGATTCCAGCATGGTGGAGGGAGATTGCCAAATACAGATGGGAAGATTTGTTTCTTTCTTGCAGGTAGAGTATATTTTGGTTTTGATGGCAGTTGCAGTCTTAATCATATATGCAAAAAGAATTTAACTGTCTGGCCTGTCCTGCTTAGGTCTTGCTGAAAAAACATTAGTTATTTGATATGTTGGTGCATTTTGTATGTCTGCAGAGGCATTACCATCAGCTGCCTTACCACAGAACTCTCTAATTTAGTGTGATCCTCTTGCTCTTTTTTTTTAGTTTATACTTGTGTGAAATTCTGGAATAGTAGTGTTTGTAATCATTATTCAGAGAAATTTGACTTTACTTAAGCAAATTTCAACAAAAGAAGATAATCGAGGTTGCTTCGTTTGACTCTGTTTTTTGGTTTTGAGTCACAGGTTTATTTTTTAGTTGAAAATTAGGCATTTTTTTATATGCATCTTTGTTTAGCTGGTAGAAGGAGACAAATTTAAATGATGAGCCTTGAAAAAAAATACTTACACTTCAAACTTTGGGAGAACACTCCTTTCAGAAACAGTTCCGTTGTTATCAGGGTTATTTGCATGAGAACAGGATCTGTTCCCTCCCCCAGGATTTCCTGTGCTCTTCCTTTTCAGCCTATCCCGGATGATATTTTTTTCCCCCTTCAGTGTAGTTTTTAAGTGAATCCAGTAAGTTTTATAAGTTTTAAGGCTCTTCTATTCCAAGTATTGTTTTATTTTCATACATAACCCACTTGTAATGAAGTATTTATGTCAAAATTGAGAAGACACAGGAAGCTTCTGGAATATTGATACACGTTTGTATTAGTGAAGCTATGAGGAAATCTTTTTCCATATTGATCCTGTTCTTTTTACTCTGTTCTGTACCTCTAAATCCAATCAGGGGATTGTTTTTGTCCAGAGTTTGGGAAATTCTGATGTAGTCAATGTTGACCATATCCATAATGGCAGTGTAAAAATATGAACAAAAACTGCAGAAGAGGTGAAATAATTCTCAGAGCTACTGTGCATCTGCAGTTTTACTGGCTTTTCGCAGTTTAGGATGTGTTAGCATCCAGAGAGTATTGACCGCTCAATTAACTAGATATAAAGCCTAAAATTTTGTTTATAGTAAACTTAAAAATAAATAAATAAATAAATAATGCGGTGTAACACTGACGGATTCTTTTGGTCCTACAGAATACTGTGTATTTGAAGTCTTTCAACATGGCCATTTTCTGTACTATGTTGCTACCAATAAGTACGTGCTATTGAATTGGACCGTTTTGTGAAGGTTTTAAAATGGCAGCTAGTTCTGGCTCTTTTAATTATATATTTTTTAAGGGAAAG